TGTCGTTTCCTGTCTTGTTAATTTTAGCCATTCTGACTGGTGTGAGGTGGTATCTCATTGTGGTGTTGATCTGTATTTCCCTGATGCCGAGTGATGTTGAGCATTTTTTCATGTGTCTGTTGGCCATTTGTATGTCTTCCTTGGAGAAATGTCTGTTCATGTCTTCTGCCCATTTCTTGACTGGATCATTTGTTCTTTGGGTGTTGAGTTTGATAAGATCTTTATAGATTTTGGATACCAGCCCTTTTATCTCGTATGTCATTTGCAAATATCTTCTCTCATTCCATAGGTTGCCTTTTAGTTTTGTTGACTATTTCCTTTGCTGTGCAGAAGCGTTTTATCATGATTAAGTCCCAATAGTTCATTTTTGCTTTTGTTTTCCTTGCCTTTAGAGATGTGTCTAGCAAGAAGTTGCTGTGGCTGAGGTCAAGGAGTTTACTGCCTGTGTTCTCCTCTAGGATTTTGATGGATTCCTGTCTCACATTAGGTCTTTCATCTATTTTGAGATTATCTTTGTGTATGGTGTAAGAAAATGGCCCCAGTTTCATTCTTCTGCATGTGGCTGTCCAATTTTCCAGCACCATTTGTTGAAGAGACTGTCTTTTTTTCCACTGGATATTCTTTCCTGCTTTGTGGAGGATTATTTTTTTCTTTTTCAAGTAGTTATTTAAATTCCAGTTAACTAACATACAGTGCAATATTAGTTTCAGGTATAGAGGTTAGTGATTCATCACTTACATACAACACCCAGCACTCATCACAACAAGTGCCCTCCTTAATCCCCATCACCCATTTAAGCCAGCCCTGACCCACCTCCCCCCAGCAACCCTCAATTTGTTCTCTATAGTTAGGAGATTGTTTTATGGTTTGCCTCTCTCTCTTTTCCTCCCTTATTTTCATCTGTTTTGTTTCTTAAATTCCACATATGAGTGAAATCATATGGTATTTGTCTTTGTCTTATTTTACTTAGCCTAATACTCTCTAGTTCCATCCACATCATTGCAAATGGTAAGATTTCATTCTTTTTATGGCTGAGTAATATTCCATTGTATATATACACCACTTCTTTATTCATTCATCAGTTGATGGACATTTGGGGAGCAACAGGCACCTTACTCTTAAGGAAGCACTCACTTTCAGGGTTGGCACTTGAGTGACTGTAGGAGTGGGTGCCTCCTTAAATTTTGTGCCCTGGACACCACAGTTGCACTAGTCCTGGTCCTGCTGATCTAGTGGGAGAACTGCTTCAGCAATGCTGAATAGAAACAGTAGGGGTGTCCATCCAAGAAACTCTGTCTCCCAAAAAGGATAGAAAATACTGGAAGTTGAGTCTCTTCCCTACCTGAGAAAAAATGGACTGGCTAGAAAGAGATAAAAAGCAGCTCCCAGTCAATAGACTAGTGCTCAGTTTAGCCTCCCCATTAGGATAGTCAACTTCAGAAAGTTTATGGGAGTTAAGTCAGATCACACAACTGGTTAGTGACCTTACTGGGCCTGTAGCCAGTCTTTTGTAGCCTGTTCACCATGTAATGATTGGCTCTTTTGCTGATCTTACTCTCATGACCCTCTTGAGAAAAGAGAGAAGAACTAGACTTGGTGATATCAACATGGATAACTAGAACAAGCCTTGTAATAAGGCTAATTTAAGAACTGTGTAAAGGTATACATACTCAATGTACCAGCTAGCCCTTGGGCTTTCAATAGCTGGGAAGCCTTTATTCCTTAGAGGATGATGAGATTCTGTTTCAGACTCTTCTGACAGATTGGACCCCAGAGTAGCTCTGGCCACACGAATGTCCAATCAATAGACAGCTATTGAGCACAACTGTCACATTCTTTGTTCTGGGGCAGAAGACTCTCTGAGCATATTTATACATATATATATTTGTATAAAGTATAAATAAATATATTTAAATATATTTAAAATATATTTGTTTATTTTTTTAAAGATTTCTTATTTATTTATTTTTTATTTGACAGAGAGAGAGCACAATCAGGGGGAGTGGCAGGCAGAGGCAGAGGCAGGGGGGGGAAGCAAGCTCCCCGCTCAGCAGGGAGCCTGATGCGGGCTCGATCCCGGGATCCCGGGATCACTATCCCAGCTGGAGGCAGATGCTCAACCATCTGAGCCACCCAGGCGCCCCAAAATATATTTAAAGAAAGAAAGACCCCTAGAGAGTGAAAAGTAATTAAAGATTAGATCAGTAACCAATTCTAGAAGTAGATTCAGACCTGGGCACCTCGGTGGCTCAGTTGGTTAAGCGTCTGACACTTGAGCTTGGCTCAGGTCTCGATCTCATGGTTGTGAGTTCAAGCCCCATACTGGGCTCCGTGAGAGCGTGGACCCTACTTAAAAAAAAAAAAGAAGAAGTAGAATCAAACCATGGGGGTTTATAACACCCTCCCTTCTTCGGCTACAGCAAAATATTTGGTATTGGGGGCCCTGCTGGATTCACATACCATCTTAGTTACAGCATGGAGCAGGTTTTGTAGGAGAAACACTGCAAACCCATAACTCAAGACAAACATTTTGTCCCTTTAAATTGTCACCATCTCTCCCGGGGCTCTGTGCTCTGAGGAGGCTCGGAGACTTCCTCCCTGCACTGGGAGGAACAGCCTTCTGCACGCATAACTGAAGGGAAAATACTAGGTCAGGGGCTTCTAGAGTCACCACTGCTGTGGGAAAGGTGAGCCCACAGGGGAAGGGGGCCGCCGGAGCTGTGGGAGCTGTGACCCACCAGCAGGAACATGGTTCTGAGAGTGTTTACTGCCTGAACACCTACATTCCACCCAACACCATGCAGGTGAACAAGAGGCAGAGCACTCAAGATCTCGCCTCCAGGCGTTTAAAGATGTGCTGAGTTTCAAATTGAGTAAGCTCAGAGGAAGTTTTACAAGCATCATCTCCTGCTGGGAAGGCACACACACCTGGTTAGTGGCAAAACCTGTTCCTTCCACATTCTCTTAATACAGTAAGAGCAGTGGGTGCTAGAAGCCCTTCCAGGAACAGAATACAGTTTAAAAGGCATTAAAGATAGTCCAAATGACATACTCAGCAAAAGCAAAAGATATTTCTATGGACCATAAATAATCTAACCTCAGAGCAAGTTACAATGTGGCAAATCTAGATATATATGAATTTACTCCTACCCCCATACTTTCTCCTCACTGCCCACAGTAGGGGGACCTCTGGAGACATCTGAGCTTAGGAACTTGGTCTCCAGCCCCTTTAAAGGGGTCTTCTGCTCCCCAAGTCAAGCTTCCCCCTCCCAGCTGCAAGGAAACCTCAATTTCCTCATCTGTGCAATGCAAGAGTTTGAATAAATAACTGGTTTCCACACTCTGGTTGGTGAGTGATTACATCAGCCACATCAGATCAAGAATCAGAATCTCTGAAGATGGTCCCCCAAAATGTGTACTTTTAAAAACAGTCAAGTGATTCTGAAAAGCAGCAAGTTTGGAGACACTCAACTAGATGAACTTTGAGGACTAGGAGTGCTATGAATATGAATTCTATATGTACTATACACCTTAACAGTTGATGCCATTTGTTACCCCAGATGTCAGCTGGGGCTTAGTTCCCACTTAAAAACTAGGTAAAAACATATCAACACCCTTTTTAAACTATACGGAAAATTCTAATGACCTACTCAGGAGTTCCGTGAATATTCTAGAGCACAATCTCTCATCTCCAGCATGGACAAGGACTTCTGGCTTTAGCTAAATGCTTGTTCTTTGCACTGAATCTTCCGGCTGTTTCTTCACTTCTGCTCTGGGGTCAGTTATGGGAGTTTGTTGATTTGTATGCACAAGATCACTCATCACCTAAGGCCTGTGGGGTGACCTTTACTGAGGGCTTTGGGGGGGTGGCAGGGGTGTTACTGCAGAAACACAAAACACTTTGGACTGAGTACCAGGCAAACCTGTCACCTGAGTCCTCTGGCCAGAGACAAGTTCTCCAGCAGCCCCGCCCTCTGCTTTTCCTCATGTGGTGCCCACGGGACAGAACACGGTCACGCACAGTCAGCAGGTGTCGCCATGAAGAGGTAGACATGAACTGGATGGGGAGGCACAGACAGGACTCAGACACGTGCGAGAGAATCAGTGGTCAGAGGAGCAAGCACACAGGTGGGAAAGGAAAGGTGCTGAAACCCGCTCTCTGCCGAGCAGCTGGCTGAGTAGGGGGCGAGTGGGAAACGGGGCTGGGGAGGCAGACGGAGGACGGGCTGCGTGCCTGTGTCCAGGCTCTCGTGTGCTCAGACAAACGTCATCATGAGGTGTTTAACTGTATTAAACCATGTCGGAATTGGGTATCATCACTTACTCTGAGAGGCCTCAGATTTGGGGCAAGACCATCAGGAGCTGGAGGGCAGTGGCCCGTCTCCCCAGGCACACAGATCAAACTTAGACCAATGATACAAGCCCACTTATTCGGTTTTCTGAGAGCAGATCACAGGCTCTTCAGATCAGCTTGGGAGGGATGTTTTCTTTCCAATTTCCAAAAACAAAATGCAAATTCTCTTCTTGTTTTTGCCCCAGGCCAACTGCCCTTAGGCGGTTCCTAAGTCACTGAGCAAATTTTCGGATTCTCAGGGTTTTCCAAAGTCTCCCCTGGCTGTGGAATCTCCTGGGCAAACTCAGAACCTACAGCTAATGTCACTGACACAGAACCACCTGGGAAAACATCAGCATCTAAAGCTCACTCTCTGACACAGAGGACCTGCTATCATCTGCCCTCTGCTTTTTGCATTCGGGGTCCCTGAAAAGTCACCAAATGTTCTCCCGGTATCGTTCCAACGCCAGCCAGGTCCTTCCAGGGTTCTTCCCTAGATGCTGCTGTCAGGGGAAGGCAGGAGCCTGGACCTTTTCACTGGGGTGCCACCAGCGTTTTGGACCTTGCCTGACCCACATAGGTAGTTATACCTATTTGATGAATGAATGAGTGAATGAATGAAAGAATGAATGAATGAACAAATTGTGTTTGGAGCTCTTTAGGGCAAATGGGAGGACGGAAGATGGCAAGGGATGAAGAAAATGCCTATGGTAAGAATTTCCTCACGGTGTGTACTGGCCTCAGGTGTCAGCTCTAGGGAACAAGGGGATGCGCTAAGTCAAGACTGAACAGACACAAATCCCAGAGGTGTCTCCATGCTGGGCTGAAACAGCAAGAGCCCAGATTTGCCTTTGTGCTGCATCTCTGCCCCTGCCCTACGGTGAGATATTAAGTGCTTTGACTAGCCTGTGCCTCCCAAGCCAGAGGGTAAACCGAGGATAAGAAATCTACTCTGACCCCCACAGAAGAGGAGGTGGAGGGAATGAGATCATGGACTAGAGGGAACACGATTTACTAGGTAGACTGCGCTAGAGAACAAGGATGGGGGCTTAACAGGTATCTTCCGGGCAGCAGGTGTAAGAGCTAGCGAGGAGGAGGGGAAGAGGGAAGGAGGGAAGAAGGAAAGAGACCAGCTCCCCTAATCCTCTGAGCAACCCCGGGAGAAACAACTCTCTGTCACCACTCCCATCTGTGCAGAAGAGGTTTAACACTCAGATGGGGCAACTTCCCCACGGTGACACGGCGGGCACACGCTGGGGCTGTGATTCCAACGCGCGGTGGCCGGGACTGCAGACAGCCCTTCACTCCCGGGCCTCCGTGCCCTCCCGCCTCTCCTGGCTGCGACGCTGGGACGGCGCCTGGGAGAAGCATCCCAGAGGCCAGGGCAGGCGTCCAGCAGCAACAGGTCTGCAGCGCGTGCGTGCCCAGAGATCACGTCCGCGGGGTCCGGGCCTGCCGTCACGGAGGGGTGCCCTCCAGAGACATGAGCACCAGCTGCTGCAGCGGGGACAGGGGCCTGTGCTGAGGCCAAAGACGGAAGACACACGGGGACAGACGCCGCGGGGCGCAACGAGCTCCGACCAGACCCCTAGGGAGGGCTCGGTGGGAGAAGCAGAAGCCCAAGGCCTGGTGCTCTGCCGTGTTCCACAGGCGCCCCCGGGGCCCGCGGGAGCGGGACGCGGGTCCGAGGCGGGCAGCCCACGCCTTCTGTGTCCTCACAGGTCCCGAGGACCCGGACGACGCGCCGCCCGCGCACGAGCCCCAGCTCAGGCTCGTCCTGGCCGGCAAGACCGGCGCGGGCAAGAGCGCCACGGGCAACAGCATCCTGGGCCACAGGCGCTTCCCGTCCAGGCTCGCGTCCACCCCGGTGACCAGGACCTGCGCCCTGGGGAGCCGCCGCTGGGCCCGCTGGCGCGTCGACGTCACCGACACCCCGGACCTCTTCAGCGCCGACGGCCGCCGCGCCGACCCGGACTGCGCCGAGCGGGGCCGCTGCTACCTGCTGTCGGCGCCCGGGCCGCACGCGCTGCTGCTGGTCACCCAGCTGGGCCGCTTCACCGCCCAGGACGAGCAGGCCGTGCGCGGCGTCCGCCAGCTCTTCGGGGCCGGCGTCCTGGCGCGGGCCGTGCTCGTCTTCACCCGCGGGGAGGACCTGGAGGGGGCCTCGCTGCACGACTACGTGCGCGACACCGACAACCGCGCGCTGCGGGCCCTGGTGGCCGAGTGCGGCGGCCGCGTGTGCGCCCTGAGCAACCGGGCCGCGGGCGCGGCGCGCGACGCGCAGGTGGAGGAGCTGCTGGTGCTGGTGGAGCGGCTGGCGCGCGAGCACGCGGGCGCGCCCTTCACCAACGCCGTGTACGGCCTGGCGGAGGCCCTGCGCCACGCGCCCCCCGACCTCCGGCTCCGGCGGGTGGCGCAGCGGCTGGCGGCCGGCGGCCCGGGGCAGGGGCGGCGCTGGCTGGAGGTGGCGCCGCGCGGGGGTTGGCGGGCGCTCTTGCTGCTCGGCGGCGCGCTGCTCCTCGGCCTGCTTCTCTGGCGCCTCAGACCCAAGGCCTTGCGGGAGGTCAGTCCCGACTGACGGTCCAAGGAGGACTTGGGCCCGTCGACTGAGGGTCACTTCGCCGCTCGTGCGGTGTGCCTTCGGGGCCCACAGGCTCTTCTTTCCTCCTTTCCTGGCGGGGATCAGCTAGGCAGCGTCCCGCCAGGGCCGGGCTCCCGCAAAACCTTCCCCTGGGACGTGGCCCTCCCAGGAGCTGCCCTTCCAAGAACTGGGAGCCTGGACTGAAAGGCACGAAGTACGTGGCGCCGAGGGGGAGGAAAAGCTCTTTCCCGCATGCTCAGCTCCGAAACACCACACCTCCTACAACCATCCCCTTGGGCACTGAGTTTTCAACACATGAAACATACTGGGGGCACACCAACCGACCGAAGCAGACACGACCCTCCCTCCTCCCTATCTGGTTCTTACATAGGGCTACATGTCCGCCTTTGGGGTCCTTCTGGGTTTTATTATTCCCTGTGAAAGAGATGTCAGGTTCATGCATGTTAATGTTTACTTCTGATTAATCAGTCTATTTACTTTACAATAATTTACTGCCAAAAAGACAAATGTAACCATACTGAAAATAATATTTCCCAATTTTCCAGTAGTGATTGTGGTTCCCGTCTCACCAAAGTGAAATACACATTTGGGTAATGTCTTCAATGTATGTATTGATCTGGACTTTTATGCAAACAAAACAAAACAAAACAAAACAACCCAGGCTCTTCTCAGGCAATGGAAAGGAGCGGGAGCTGCAGGCCCACCCGCACAAGGCCTCAGAGCACCTGAAATTAGGAGGGTATGCTGGTCCTGTAGAGTTTTGTGGGGGTGGGCCAGCCCAGGATAGTGCTTGTAGGCCACATCATTAGAAAATCAGATGCCATCCTTGGGTTGTGTCACCAACTGATAGGATTTCCTTATTTCTATTTCAGAATGTGACAAAACACTTTAGAGGAAGTCCTTCTCTTTAAATCAGCCAAGCTCTAGTCCAGATTGGACGCCAGAGGAGACACCTCCTCACCTGGCCCAGGGTTCAGGGGTGGGGAAAGAAGGAGGTTGTGAGAGGGGCCCTAGAGCCATCCTAGCTCCACCTGGAGAAGCAGGGGCCTACACACCACACCTGTGCTCAGATGCCCCCGGTTAATGGGGTAGCAGGATAGACATCGGGGTGAGCTGCGGTCATGGGGCCTCAGGCCCCTGTGGCAGTGAGCTGGGCTCTATGATGCGTGGCTGGGCAAAATTCTATTAGTGATCCCCCTCTTTAGCATCCTCAGCAGCCCCGCCAGGTTCACACAGGGGCTCTGAGCTAGGGATTCAAACAAGCTCTAACAAGATGAAGGAGCAACTTGGCAACCCAAGGGGCAGCAGGGAAGGGGCTGGGGTTGAGGGGATGGCCGGCATCCCCAGCTTGGCCTTCCGGGGCCGCGTGTGCATGAGCTCCCACTATTGGCCAAGGCTGCTGCCCCTCTTGATAGGGGGTTCCCAATAAGGAATATTTGCTTTCTTCAAAGCCAGCAGGAGAAGCTCTTGCTTTTCAAACTTTTTTGATTAGGTCAGGCCCACCTGGTATAATCCCCCTTTGACTAACCTAAAACCAGCATTTAGGGACCTTAATTCCATGGCAGAGTCCCTTCACCTTTGCCATGGGAAGTGGCCTCCATCCTATTCACAGGTCTGCCCACGCTCAAGGGAAGGGAATAGTCCAGGACATGTACACCAGGAACAAAGGGAGCTTGGGGCCCATCTCAGAATTCTGTCTACCACAACCATATAGATAGGTTAAAAGTCAAAGGATGGGTAAAGAAAATACCATGAAAACACTAATGAAAAGAAAGCTGAATCACTATATTAATAGAAAAATAGGTTACAAACAAGGAATATTAGCAAAGAAAAGCACGCCCGGCTGGCTCAGTCAGTTAAGCAACTGACTCTTAGTTTCAGCTCAGGTCGTGATCTCAGGGTTGTGAGATGGAGCCTCACATTGGGCTCTGACTCAGCATGAAATCTGCTTGAGATTCTCTCTCCCTCTGCCCCACTTGCTCATTATCTGTCTCTCTCTCTCTCGAATAAATAAATAAATTTTTCTTTAAGAAAAAGATACAGACATTACAGGAAGATAAATATGTCAACTTACTAGGAAGACTTCCTAATCCTAAAAATGTGTGCACCTAAAACTTCTTCAAAATACATGAAGCAAAATCTAAACAAATCAAAAGGATAGATAAATCCAAAAGTATACTTGGAGACTTTAACCTCCTTTCTTAGTAGTCAGTAAAACACATAGACAGAAAATCAGTAAGAATACAGGAGGCATAAGGCTGGAGACTTTCCCCTTAAGGTCAGGAAAAGGCCAGGATGTCCACCCTGATCACTCCAGTTCAACATCCCATTGGACATCCAGCCAGTGAAATGAGGCAAGGAAAACAACAACAACAACAACAACAACCAAAAACACAAGTCATAAAAAGTGGAAAGGAAATAATAAAGCTCTCTTTATTCAGAGATGACATGATTATTTATGCAGAAAATCCCAAAAAGGGAAAAAATATTCCAGAACTAATAAATTAGCTTAGCAAGGTAGGAGAATGCAAGGTCAACATGCAAGGATCGATTATTAGCAATGAACCATTGGAAATTGGAATGAAATCATCAGTACTCTTATAATAGCATTAAAAACCATAAACTACTTTGGGATAAATCTAAGATTTTAATGCTGAAAACTACAAATGTTGATGCGAAAAATCAAAGAAGACCTAAATAAATGGAGAGAGAGCCTACGTTTGTGGGTCAGAAAATTCAATATTATTAAGATGTCAATCCTCCCCTAATTTCATCAACAGAGCAACGCAATCTCAGTCAAAATCCGAGTGGGATTTTTAGTAGATATTCACAAGCTTCTTCTAAAATGTATGCAAAAAAACAAAGAACTAAAACTATTTTGAACAAGAAGAAATTGGAGGATTCACACTCCCTGATTGCAAGATGTACTATAAATCTACGCTCCTCATAACTGTGTGTAACAAATAGTATTGTCAGGGCCTCTGGCTTGAGGAGTAGTCACAGTTCATCCATAGTGGGCTGCATCTGCTTGGCTGCACAGCGGGCTACAGTCTCCTTGTCTTCGCAATCTCTCGGAGGATCGCCTGTGATACACATCGCATTCTGGTTTCATGCCTGTTCAAAGATAGAACTGTTTTCTTTCTCTTCCATTTTAATGGGGAGGTTTTCCAAGTTGGCAAGAGATTGTTTTAAATTCTATTCCCCCCAAAATCGCAGACAATGATGATTAGGTGACTCTGAGCCTACCTTCCAATATGAACAAAAAGGAATCTGGAGATTCTCTAGGACAAGACTGGGCCCTGCCTAAGCACGTGTTGTGTTCTGATCTTGCTTTGCAACGTAACTGGTTTTTGCTTATTTGTTTAATTCTAATTCCAGTGTAGTTAACATACAGTGCTATGTGAGTTTCAGGTGTTCAATACAGTGATTGAACAGTTCTAAACGTTACTCACTGCTCATCGCCATAAATGGACTCTGAATCCCCATGACCTATTTCACCCACTCTCCACCCACCTCCCCTCTGGTAACCATCAGTTTGTTCTCTATGGTTAAGAGTCTGTTTCTTGGGTTATCTCTTTGTTTTCTTTGTTCATTTGTTTCCATCCTTAAATTCCACATATGAGTGAAATCATAGGGTACTTGTCTTTCTCTAACTTATCTTATTTGCCTTACACCCTTTACATCCGTCCAGGTTGCAAATGGCAAGATTTTGTTTTTATGGCTAAATAATGATCCATTGCATATATACCAGATCTTCTTCATCCATTCATCTATTGCTTCCGTAGTGTGGCTCTTGTAAATGGCACTGCAAATATAGTAGGTTGTCTTTCAGTTTTGTGGATTGTTTCCTTTGCTGTGCAGAAGCTTTGTATTTTGATGTGGCCCCAACAGCTCCCTATGGCAAGAGAAACAAACGCAAAGTAATTGTTTTATATTCACCACTGTAGCCTTAACTGTGTGATCAGTAGACAAAAAGAAGAGCCACAGCCTCCCAACCCTCCCCGCCCCACCCCCCCATCCCCAATAAATGGGCCCAGAAGCTCCAGACCCCTAAAGCCCCTTAGGGCTGGTTTGTCAGAGGACAGAGAAGGGGCAGCCAGCACAAGGGGTCTGGCAAGTCCTTCAAATCCCGTGCTTAGAGCTGTTCTTTCAGCCCCTCTGTGGACCAGCACAGCCTTTCTGTCCCTGGTAGGCAGGAGCATTCTAGAAACAGAGCCTTGACCAGGGGCCTGGGGAGTCCCGCGGGGCAGGTGCTCCTGCCATAGGGGCTGAGGGGAGTGGCTGGCGCCCCACTAGGTCATGGGGGCGTTTCTTAACCTGGGGGGCCCATCACTGCCTTCAGAGCCTCTACCTCCACGTCCTGCTTATTTCAAGGAGTCCTAAAAAGGAAATGGGAGGAGGCATGGCGACCCTGGCAGGCTGGGGCAGGAGTTGACCCCTTAAGGGAGCCACATGCCCCTTGCTCCCTGCTCTCCCGGTGCTGAGGGCAGCAGTTCTGCCGCGGACCCCGGGGGTCTGTCCTGGTCGGAGCCGCGGGCCGTGCTCCCTAAGCCCCTTTGCCTTCTGGCCCCCAGGCCCAGCCCTGGAACCTAAGGCTTCACTCGCAGCTCCTCCCCAGCCGCACCGCCACCCCCGCTTCCTGCTGCACCCTCGCCGCCTGGAGAGCAGCCCCGAGAACCTGCAGCCGCCCCGAGAGCCGCCCGCCCGCCCCCCAGAGCCGCCTGCGCCCCGAGAGCCGCGGGGAGAGCCGCCCGCTGCCCACCGCCCAGAGCTGCCTGCGCCCTGAGAGCAGCCTGGGGAGCCGCCGTCCAGCACGGAGCCCGCAGCGCTGCGCCTGGTAAGGGGAACCCGGTGCGGGTCCCAGCATCTCTGGGGGTCTGAGGGCCCCGGGTCTGGCCCCAGCTGGGGACTCTGCTGTGATCTCACCCAGGCTACCGCCCTTGTGGGTTCGCCCCTCAGTGGACCCGGCCGGGGATGGTCAGAGTTTCGTGCACAGTGCACTCGGGTGGCCGGGAAACAGGCTGGGAACCTCTCACCCTGTGCTCACAACCCAGCGATTTCATGACGGAGTCTTCTCCGTCCAAAAGGTCTGTCTGGGAGAAGAAGATGGATTCTCAGGGTTCCAAATGGCAAATATGGAATCATTATTTTCTCACCACCCATGAACCCAGCCTTTCAAAGGAGACTCCTCAGGGGGCGTTGTCTCATGACTCTGATCTGGAAGCCCTTCCATTCTCTCCCAAATCCCCCCGCCCCCCATTTCCTGTGACATGAGGAGGGACTCTATTCTAAGGCAAACGGACTATGCTCAGGACATATGGGAACAATCCTTTTGTCTGTTAACCCTTCAGTGAAAGACACATCACAACATCACAATGACTAAAGTACCCAACAAGTGTCACTCATACCAGGAAATATAGGGACTCCGCAGATGAGTGAAGGAGATACTTATGAATAAGGCAGACGAGAAGTATTTTTATCCTTCTTAGAACAGCATTAGAGAGCCTGCTTTCTCAAGTTTGATAAAATAAAAAATAAAATCAGGCTCATATAATTTAAAAATCAGAATGTACATTATGTTTCTTTGCCTGAAACTCTCACCTAAGCTAGATCCTCCTACTATCCCTGTCTGATGTTGTCATAATCTCTGCTTGCTCGCTGCTTGCCACTCTCTGCTCACACCTGGTCCCATTTTGGAGGAGATGAGGCAGAATTTTCCTTTTGGAGGAGAAATCTGCCTCCATTCCCTGTTCTCTCACTTTTGCCTGCTCTGAGATTGACACATACCACATTTCTTCAGCTACTGGTGCTTCCCCCAGTCTTTTCTAATGCTTTACCATCCTGTTACTATTTTGTCTACGACTCATTTATAGCTTTTCTGTCAATATCATTTCTGACTTGCCTCTGGACATGTTCTTTTTTAAGATTTTATTTATTTGTTTTGTTTTAGAGAGAGCATGCGCCCAGGCAGGGGTGGGAGGATGAGGGAGAGAATCTCAAGCAGACACCGCACTGAGTACCGAGTCAGGCGAGGGGCTTGATCTCAAGACCCTGAGATCATGACCTGAGCCAAAATCAAGAGTCGGACCCTTAACCAACTGAGCCACCCAGGCGGCCTGGACACTCTCTTATCTGTTAATATCTGCCTAAAAATCTATCCCTCAGGGGGAACGTATGTCTCCCCCTGCAGTCTGACCACTCAGAAGATGGCTCAGGAGAACCACCTGGGCTGCATCTCAGCTAATGTAACCTGAGGTTCACTGGCATTTTGTGTCAGCCACATTGCTCCATTTGGCTCTCACTTAATCAAGTCGAAACATCAGATTGTTTTAAACTGAAATGCTTCAATTCAGAGCAACTCCTTCCTCCTGCAATTTTATTTTTGAATAATCTTTAAAAAAAAAGAAAAAAAAAAAACCATGCACTCAAGGTTTTGCAATACAATTCTCTGTGTTGATTTTAAGGCAGGCTTCCAGCCTGTCAACATCAGTTTATGTCCTGACTGTGGATGGTAACATTGTATGTGGTGTTCCAAGAGGCTTGTGGACCTGTTTAGAATAATCTCTTTTACCCCCTGTGGAATCAAGGAGAATATGCAGGCCAAGGAGCACCCACCCTTTTTTTAATCTTTAGCTCTGTGGCAATCTGGTGACCTTGGGCAGGTCATTTGATGTCCAATTTCCTAATATGCAAATAGACATTTCAACACCTATTTTGATCACATCACAGGGAATTTAGAAGGACAATTAGAATCAGGGACAGGAAAGAACTTTGAAGGTTACAGATGGCTGCAGAGAGGATGCTTCCGATGATGAAGCCCATTGTCAACATCCTCACCTCTATCATGGTCTTTATCACATGAATTGATTGATTCCAGCATATTTTCTGAGGTTCCCAAACCTCAGAAAATGTCATCCAAAGTACAAAAGATGTCAGAGAATTTGAGCAGTTTTAGCAGAAGCCGGATAATTGACCAGAGGCTAGGACAGTCCATGGAAAAGGGTGAGGAAAATGCTCTTCTCAGGGCTTAAGGAAAGGAGGGAGCGGGGGAAAGGAAGAAAGGAAACAAAGGAAAGAAGTTGTCTTAATATATTCTGATAACCTGGAAGTGGATGTTTTCCCCCAAGGAGGGCCAAAAAATCCACTGCATGAATGGAAGAAGGAGCAAAAGTTATTTCATTATAACAGAAGCAACCCGAATAACAAATAAACTAAGAAAAACATTTTTGATTCAATGGTAATTAGTAAAATGCAAGTTTAAACCAATTCAGATGTCCTTACTTACGCCCTTAAGAGTAACAAAAAATTAAGTCTAATGTCACCAAGTTCAAGTGCAGGTTTGGGAATTCTCATCTGTGGCCGGTGCCAGTGGGAGTTCGCCCAACCATCCTGGGGTCATACTTGGCAATATCTAGTCAGGGGGCAGCTGTCTGTCCCAGGTAATTTGTTGCATGTGTGCGCCGGGGGACAGAAATGGGATTATTCTGCAGCATTGTTTGTAGAAGCAAGCATGTAGTTTGAAACAGCTTAAACGTTTGCTAAGAAATAATTGAGGGGCACCTGGGTGGCTCTGTCCATTAAGCGTCCGACTCTTGATTTCGGCTCAGGGCATGATCTCAGGGTTGTGGGATCGAGCCCCAGGTAGGGCTCCACGCTCAGTGTGGAGTCTGCTTGAGATTCTCTCCCTCTGCCCCTCTCCCCACTCCTGCTCTCTCTAAATAAATAAATAAAATCTTTGCAAAAATTGATAAAATGTTACATACATAACATCATTTATGTAAAAAGTTGCAAATAGAAAACCGTACTATACATTATCTATAAAGACATGTGTATGTAGAAGTATAAATAGACAAACGAGAATGATCCATAAAATCCTCAGAATATTGGTTCCCTCTGAAGGACAGAGGGAGGGGGACTGAGACTGGGGAGCCGGAAAATGTAAATGGAGCTCTATGTGTAATGTTTCCACTTCTCGATCAAACAGAACAGCTGCAGCAGATGCTGAAATATTTACATTCGTTCATGGCAAATGGTGGCCATTTGTTGTATAACTTTGTGGACTTCACCACTTAAGGTGGTTTCATAACCACATCACCTTTAAAACTGAATAAATACAATACAGCCTCAGAGCTCATCTTAATTACGGTTGCGTGTCTCGTGCACACTTGCCTCTTCTAACCCCAAGAAGAAGGACCCAATATCCTGCCTCATTCCAATGAAACTTTTATGCCAATGGTTGGGTCGATTTCTGGTTAAATCTGCTGGGATACAAAAATGATGATATTGGGAGACCAGGACCTCAGAGCCCACCAGGAAAGAAACTGGATTAAAATCTGAGCAGGCGATGAGGATGAGGTATCTTGAATTTGTCCTGAATGTTGATTCTTTCCCTTCAGTTATGGCACCACCTTCTCTCCACCAACTCCCTGATGGGGGGTGGGGTGGGGGTTGGAAGGGGTAAGGAAGGTGTCAGTGCTCGGCTCTCTAGCACTCTTTCCTCTGCTGTCAGTCCCTGAAGGAGTCCTTGTCCCCGCTCTGCCCTCCCACTGGAAGGAAACTTGTGCTTTCCTCTTTGCCCCTGGAATATCCATCTGACACAGCTTCTGGGACTGGAAATTCTCAGTACTTCAGACAAACCAATGTCATTTACAGCAAGGCAGTTTTTTTTTTTTCTATGTTCTAGCAAGTTCACCTACTTTGATTGCAAACGCTAATCATAATGTGCCACTGCTGGTTCCACAGAAGAATGGTTTTTTTCATTTCATTTCAAGTTGGAGGGAGAGAATCAACTGATCTGTTTTAAAATATTTCCTAATTTCCTGTAAGTTGCAAAAAAAAAAAAAAGCAACAAGTGCATTGCGTTAACATAAGCTAACTTCGCCTGGGGTTTGCCTAAAGTTAGTCATAGGTATTTGAAAGTATAATATGAGTTCAAAAATTAGCAATGAAAATGGCTCATCCTAGGATAATTATTCTTAGATGTCTGCATTAAAAGTGTTCTCAGGCTTTAGCAACTCCTATATGGACACTTGCTTTTATTCCTTTCCTGTTTTCTATTCCAGAAGAGGATGGAAGGGCTTCAGAGGGGCAGATATGGAACGATGGCTGAAGGTAAGGAAACCTGGACGTTCTCAGGAGCTCCAGGCACCCGGGACAGTCGCCGTTCTCTCTCCATCAACCCCCACTTCAAACACAGGGATAGAAACCCTATTATTTTAAAGTGAAGAAGAGGGGCATCTGGGTGGCTCAGTCGGTTGAGCGTCTGACTCTTGGTTTCAGCTCGGGTCATGATCCCAGGGTCCTGGGATCGAGCCCCGTGTCATGCTCCCTGCTCAGTATGGAGTCTCCTTCATATTCTCTCTCTGTCTCCTTCTACCCCTCATACTCGTGCTATTTCTCTCCCTCTCTCTCAAATAAACAAATAAAATCTTTAAAAAAAATAAAAATTAAAAAAAAAGGGAAGAAGAAAGAGGCAAAAATCACTTGTACTCTACCTTCCCTGTGTCATCACCCCATCCACTGTCACCCACACATGATTGGTGAGAAATGTGGAAGTGAAACTCCCAAGTCAGAGTCTGAAGGATTTGGAACCAGATTGTGAAAACAATTTCTCTTTCCCGGTCTGCTCCCAACTGGAAAGAGGAAAAGTTCCCGTAGAGATTTAGGAATCATGCTTGTTACCAATACTTAAGGAAAGGAAGAACCAACACAGTAGAAGGATAAAGTAAGAGATTTTAGGAGGCTGAAATGAACTTAATTCATTTGAACTCATAAGAACTCTAAAAGTCCTGGGGTTCTCACCCACCTTCACCCCTTGAAGATTTTACTCTTGGCTCAGTGTCACCCTCCCCCACACCATTCTGTAGTCATCTCCTGCGATTCGGTCGGCCAGATCTCTCCAACCCCCGTGCTTCTAATGCCCCTCACTCTTCACCAGCTTCCCATCCAGGGGCATCTCCCAGACTTTGTCCTTGACATTCACGATCTTCTGTCACCTCAGTTTCAAAGATCCAAGTGCCCGCCCCAAGAGCAGAGACCCGGGACATTCAGCTGGTCCTTGGTGGGAGGTCACTGCACCTCTGACCTCTGAGGTGTCCTTTTCCCCTGAGGTTCAGATGCATGTGTTGAGCGCTGCTGTGGGAGTATGATGGGGATGTGGGGGTGGAAAAGAGGGGATAATATTTTCTCCTTTGTGGCTTCTCGTGCCCTGCCTCCTTCTAAACTTATATTTATTTAGCATGAAATTGGCCAAAGCACCATCTGTAGAAAAGCATGGGGACCACAGTCCTGTTCCCCCAAAAGCCCTGTTTCCCCTGCTCTAGAGGAAGTGCTTGGAGATCCTAGGGCGCTTCCTCCCTGGGCTGTGGGTCCGAGCATGAGCTTCTAACGTAGGCTTTCTATGATCCACGGGCATCCTAAAGTTGTATACAAACTTTCGTATGTATTTAGATAGGATTGATTTGGGGGAGGGAGGTCCACGAGTTTCATGAGATCTCATGAAGGTCCAAGACCTGAAAACCTTAAGAATCACTAACTTAGGGAGACACAAAAAATTGTTTTTTCTAGGCAGAGAGGAAGATAACTGGTCTGCAACATCCACCTCACTGAGGATCGTCCTGGTGGGCAAGACAGGCACTGGGAAAAGTGCCACAGGGAACAGCATTCTCCACCAGCCAGTGTTTGAGTCCAGGCTGGGGAGCCAGCCTGTGACCAAAACGTGCCAGGGCGAGACAGGGACCTGGAACGGAAGGAACATCCTGGTGGTTGACACGCCCTCCATCTTTGAGGCAGAGGCTCAGACCCAGGAGATGTACAAGGACATCGGGGACTGCTACCTGCTCTCTGCCCCGGGGCCCCACGTAGTGCTGCTGGTGACCCAGCTGGGGCGCTTCACTGCCCAGGACACGGTGGCCGTGAGGAGGGTGAAGGAGGTCTTCGGGGCGGGAGTCATGAAGCACGTGGTGGTCCTCTTCACCCACAAGGAGGACTTGGACGGCGAGTCCTTGCACGATTACATCGCACACACGGACAACCAGAGCCTGAGGAGCCTGGTGGGGGAGTGTGGGAGGAGGTACTGCAGCTTCAACAACTCGGCCACCGGGGAGGAGCAGAAGGCGCAGCTGGCCGAGCTGATGGCTGTGGTGGAGAGGCTGGAGAGGGCGAACGAGGGCGCCTTCCACAGCAACGACCTCTTCTTTGAAGCCCAGAGGCTGCGGCAAAGGGGGGGCGGCGCCTGCGGGGAAGGGCACAGACGCTACCTGGACAGGGTGCGGGCGCAGCTGGGAAAGCAAAGGCGACACCTGAGAGACCCCAGGAGCAACCGGGCCTGCGGGGCGCTCCTCAGAGTCACAAGATGGATGTTTTCTTGCGGTGGGATAGCTGTTGTCCTCAGTATATGCGTTTTGATTTTTCTTGCCGCTTTAATTAACTTGAGTATTACTCATGGACACTGAGCATTTGCAGTGATTTCTGCAATCAGCTGACTTATGTTTTCAGAGTCGCCATCTCTGTGTCAGATTCTTTGTTTTTTACATGATTTCACGTTCTTTTGCTCTTCGTCACATCAGACATACTGTCCATTTTCTTCAAGTGCTTAGGTCAATAAATCCAAAGGAAAAATTATTTTTTTGTTTTTGTTTTGTTAACAATTGTGACGGTACATGAGAAACTAACTGTCTGGAAATGTTTGGGTACGTGCTGGGAGGCAGGTGGTGGGTGGTGAAGCCGTGGGGATGTCCCACCTCTGGTCCCACCTTTGTGTCGTCAGGCTATTGAGGGGAGACAGGTGTTTTATGAAAAGCCTGTGGTAGATTCCTTATTTTATTCAGAAACATACCTGATCTCATTAGAGTTAGTCATAAAAGCTGATGCCCACCCCCAGCCCCAACCTTGCGAGAGAGAATGATGAGGATGGAGGTGGGGGAGAGATCCTGAGGTGAGAAGAGATCCTGAGGTGAAAGCGGCAAGAAGAAGAGAAGGTGCAAGAGGGGGCCTGTGCATGGTGGGGAAGGAAAGAAAGGGGTCAGTGCAACAGGATGGGGGCTGAGCCTTAGGAAAAGCAGTCACTGGGAAATTCTCAGTGGTTGGAAATAAAGGAAGAGAATAATATTCACTCCTTCTCATAGAAATAGAAGTAATTTGGGGGAAAGAAGTTGATGGACAGCCTGACATCCACTGTTTCCAGATACTGGAGTAGAGTTTCTTTGCCTCAAAGCAAGAAATGAGTTCCATGTCCCCTCACTTCAGTTCCCGGTCTCCCTGGACCTATGCGTCACCTGCCTGGGGCTTCCTGTGTCCACACTCACAGCTGACCAGAGAATGCCTGTTTCTGGCTGACTCAGGTGAGTTTACCCTTCTCGGTCTCATGTGGTGTGTCCTGAGTAGAGGTCCACTCTGGCCTCAATGGTCCTCCATTCAGGGAGAAGGTTTGGGGAGCTCCATTTTGACCTTGATTCCTGCTACATTCTTTACTGCAGCATACTAGGGGAGTGCTGTGCTTTGGATGAAAAGGTGATAGTTTGCCCAAATGCCTCCATTCTCTGTGTGTATATGCTTTTATTCAGAACTATGGAGGAAAGAAGGGGCTCCTTGGCATTCTGAATGGAAACAGTGACATCTGGAATAGCAGTTCAAAAATTATTAACACGCTTACTCTTTTGTCTTTCTAAGCATATGACCATGGCTAAAATCTGTCAGAGGCATACTTTTGGGTTTTACAAACTAGATAGAGGAGGAATTATACCTGAATGCAATTTGATATGCATTTCTTTCCATATGCGCGCAATTAAGCATCTTTTCGTATGTTTAGTATCAGTTGGTTTTTCTGCTGTCTTCTTTTCTTTTGTCCATTTTTACAATGGGTTGCTGCTCTCTTACCTTTCAATTTCCTAGAAACTTTACGTATTAGGCAGATTAGTCATTTGTCTATTATATGGGTTACAAATATTATTTTCTGGTTTGTTATTCAAATTTTACTTTGTTGTTGTTGTTGTTTTTGTTTGTTTTTAATGATTTTATTTTTAAGTAATCTCTGCACCCAGTGTGGGGCTCGAACTCACAACCCCAAGATTCAGAGTCTCACACTCCATTAACTGAGCCAGGCAGGGGCCCCTTTACTTTGTTTTTTAAATGTAGATGTGTATCACTATTATGTAGGCATATGAATCCATAAATTTGTGGGTTCTGGTTTTTGAGTCATACTTAGAAAGAACTTCCACATGCATCAGTTATGGTGGAATACTTTTCTGTTGCCTTCTAGAACTTTTTTATTTTCTTTGTGCTAACATTTAAATCTTTTATTCATTTGTAATTTATCCTGGTGTTTATCAAACATTTATCCTGCCTTTCTAGCATAGACTGTACTTCAGGTTACTAAGTAAGTGAAGAGGGAAAGAATATCCTAATACAAAAATTCTAGCTACATATTGGAAAGGATTTTCTCCTTCGGTGCCCGCAGTTCTCGGTCACGCCGCTTCGAAGAATGAAGAGGGAGACCAGGCAGAGTGGTGGGCAGCAGAGCAAGGTTTATTGAGTTTAGCAATAGTACAAGCTCTCAAAGAGGGAGGGGACCCAAGAGGGCTGCCACCGGAATTTCTAAGTCTAGGGGGTTTTATGGGCTTGTTGGCTTGCTGTTTGTTTGTTTTTTAAGATTTTATCCATTTGACAGAGAGAGAGAGACAGTGAGAGAGGGAACACAAGCAGGGGGAGCGGGAGAGGGAGAAGCAGGCTTCCCGCGGAGCAGGGAGCCGGATGCGGGGCTCGATCCCAGGACCCTGGGACCACGACCTGAACTGAAGGCAGACGCCCAACGACTGAGCCACCCAGGCACCCCTTGGCTCACTGTTTTAATCTGATTAGCCCTCCCTGTGCCTGTCATCCAATCAGGTTTCCGTCATCTATCTATCACGTGGGAAAGGGTGGAGGGCTCCTTCCAGGGCGGTGTAAAATCCTCTTACAGGTGGTTTCCTCTTAAGGCGGGGGCCCCTTGTCCCTGCCTGCCTTTCTTCCAACTGTCCTTCATCGCATGCACCTCATAAGTAACCGAGCTTCAGAAAAACAAGAAAACTTCAAAATTGAAGAAGTAAAACTGGCAGAAGCGAATGGAGAAACTGACACATCCCTGGTTATAGCTGGAGATTTCAACACTCCTTTCTCAACAGGGTGTATTATTTCCCTTTCTCCCAAAGACTGAGCAGAGATAAGGGAAGAGAAATCGTGTTTCATAATTCAGATGTCTTCCCATCGAACTCTGACTTGAGCTTTCACTTCCACATTTCCCACAGTCTCATCGTTGAGCGGATGGGATGGGGGTCTGGAGAGGAGCGTGGAGAGACAGACGGAAGGTGAACTGTAGGACTCAGGTCTGGTAGGCAGGGTGGCCTGGTACATGCTATGTAAGCCCTCTGGGCCTCAGGGTCCTCTCTTGTCAAAAAAAAGAGAGTCGTTTTCCTCCTGTGTGAGTGGAGTTGGAGTCCCCGAAATCGCCGTGAGTGGATGGAAGAGATTGTTGCCAGTGCCCCAGGGCTGTGAGCCGTGGTGTGCCCAGCATCCTGGAAGGCCTATTCTCACACAGCCTGGAAGGTGTCTGCCCTGCCCAGGCAGCTGCCCTCAGACTGTCCACCAAGGGGCCAAATTACATAGCTGAGCTGATCATGCCCAGAGGGTTGGCTAAGCCGGAGCATGGGCAGAGGCTGGCCCAGGGTGAGTCGACGCTGGGTTTGTCCATTCTTGAGCAAAGCCATCTGTGCTCAAAGTGGAAAAGGAGTGAGTATTGGGGCCGGGGACACACATGCACTAGGGAAAGTAATCTCCCCCCTTCTCTTCAAAACAAAGGAGGTTGGCTTTAGCAATGGGTAGAAAAAAGGAGGAAATGGGTCTTTACCACTTACTTTTCCACCCTTCAGTGACAGAGTCTTGAGTGTTTTCCAAGCCCAGAAAATTCCCTTTTCAGCCTTAGAATTCGACACTGGAGGGCCATCAGTAAGGCCTTTGCTCAGCTTCCGATGATGGTTTAGGGAATCACGAGGCTGCTAGGGCAGAGAAGAAGACATTTCTGGTACCTCTCTCTTACTGATTTCTAGCTGGATTCCATTGGGGTCGGAGAACACACTCCATACGGTTTCAACTCTCTTACATTTGTTGAGATTTGTCTCGTAGCCCAGGATGTGGTCTACCTAGGTCCGTGTTCCATGTGCACTTGAGAAGGGTGGGTCTGCTCCGCTTGTTTCTATCAATATCAGTTAGATCCTGTGGATTGATGGTGTTATGGGGTCAATTCTCCTGTAATCTTGCTCATTTTCTCATAATTGCACTATCAGTGGTTGAGAGAGGGATATGCAGTCTCCAAATGGAATTGTGGATTCCTCAATTCTGCTTTCGATTCTTTCAGTTTTTTTGCACACGTTTTGCAGTTCTGTTTTTGGGAATACACACTTAGGATTGCTTTGTCTTCTTGATGGATTGACCTTTCCATCACTGCATAGTGTCCCTCTCTGGTTTTGGTAATTTTCTTTGCTCTGAAGTCCACTTTATTTGATATTAATATAGCCATTCCTTCTTTCCTTTGCATGTTTAACATTTGCGCTATTTATCTTTTCTCATCCTTTTCTTTTCAACTTGTTTCTACCATAACATCTGAAATTATTTTCGGGAAGCAGCATATACTTGGGTCATATGGTTTAATCTACTCTCCAGTTTCTATCTTTTAATTTAGATCCCTACATTTAGTAGAATTAATTATTGAGGTGTTAGTGCATAAGTCTGCCATTTTTATTTTGTTTTTTTCCCTGTTCTCTCCAGTTTTCACTTCTCTATTTTTTCCTCTACATTCCTGTGGGTTACTTGAACAATTTTATAATTCTATTCTGATTTTAATATAGTGTTTTTATACTGATTCATTCATTTTAGTTTTTATTTAAATTCCAATTAGTTAACATACAGTGTATTATGAGTTTCAGGTGTATAATTTAGTGATTCAACACTTCCATACAACACCGGGTGCTCATCAGCCTTCCTTAATCCCCATCACCGATTTCACCCATCCCTCTACCCCCCATCTCCCCTCCAGTAACCATCAGTTTGTTGTCTATAGTTAAGAGTCTGTTTTTTGGTTTTCCTCTCTCTTTTTTCCCCCCTGTGATCATTTGTTTTGTTTCTTAAATTCCATATATGAGTGAAATCATATGGTATTTGTCTTTCTCTGACTGACTTCTTTACTTAGCAGCATACTATCTAGCTCCAACCATGTTGTTGCAAATGGCAAGATTTCATTCTTTCTGATGGCTGAGTACTATTCTATTATGTATATGGGCTCTTTTCATAATTTGGCTATTGTTGATAATGCTGCTATAAACATCGAGGTGCATGTATCCCTTTGAATAGTATTTTTGTATTCTTTGGGTCAATACCTAGCAGTGCAATTGCTGGGTCATAAGGTAGTTCTATTTTTAACTTTTTGAGGAATCTCCATGCTGTTTTCCAGAGTGGCTGCACCAGTTTGCATTCTCAACAATAGTGCAGGAGGATTCCCCTTTCTCCACATCCTCGCCAACACCTGCTGATTCCTGTGTTATTGATTTTAGCCATTCTGACTGGTGTGAGGTGATATCTCCTTGTAGTATTGATTTGTAGTTCCCTGATGTTGAGTGATGTTGAGCATCTTTTGATGAGTCTGTTGGCCATCTGTCTTCTTTGGAAAAATGTCTATTCATGCCTGTTGCCTGTTTTTTAGTGGGATTATTCATTTTTGGGGTGTTGAGCTTTATAAGTTCTTTATAATTTGGATGCTATCCCTTTATCAGATACATGTCACTTGCAAATATCTTCTCCCGTTCTGTCAGTTACCGTTTAGTTTTATTGATTGTTTCCTTTGCTGTGC